GAAAAGTTTTTATAACCGAAGTTTTACAGTACTTCTTTTACAGATGCAAAATGATTCCAAGCATCTGTTTGTTTTGAGTGGGATTGCTAAAAACCCTGTGTATATAAATAGTGACAACTCTTCGATGATACAACAACTAATTAACTCTGCTTTTGTGACTTAAACCGAGGGCCCTTGTGTTGAAATTTCAGGGCCACTCTTTAAGAAAACTTAACTTACAATTTCATAGCAGATTGTTTCGCATTTTAAACTTCAATCAACTTTTTAGAGTTAAATCGCTTGCAGAGAAGTCCACTGTGGCCGTAAACTAAGAGATTGCTGAACCGGCGAATTTAGGAGTTAGAGGTTAGTGAGCTTGTTTCTAGATGACTACAGAGAATTATGAGTGTTCAAAGCATCAAAAAGCTACGAAGCATTGCGATTTTTATGGGTTAGTATGACTTATTCGACTTCAAACTTTCATGTGGAAAATCCAAGGCCGCTAGCGTTGAGAGAGCGAAGTGAGACGAAGAATTCTGTAATCCTGCGTGCCTTGAAAATATAACAACTATATTTTTTTAACTTTGCTCTTATGTCAGCCAATGAGAGTTCAAAGCACTTTAAAGTCTTGGGTAATTTCTCATTAGAACTTGAAACCCTTAACTTAATGAAAATTATAGTATGTCGGCATGAAAGTGCCTTCGAGCAACACATAGATCTTACGGAATGTTTTGTGTACACAAACTCAATCGAGAATGTAAATGAAGGATGTTGATAATTGATGGCAAATTATATCTATTAAATTACTAGTCTGCTTCTTTTGTTTAAAAATAGTGTAAATAAAAAGAGCGAAATAACCGTCAGTAAAGTTTGGGAATGAAGATTCAAAAGATGAACTATGTACCTGATTCAAGGAGGTGGATGGTATTTTGCAAGAGAGATTGGGACTAAACAAACGATGCATTCGCACCGTGATGGACGATGTCTGTCTGTATTAATTTTCATAACGTCATTTCTGATGGGCTTGAGAGGAAAACCTTTGTACGAAGAGAGGGCAGGTAAATATGAGTTTTTAATTGAAATGAAGTAATTAATTTTGTCATGCTTGAATTAAGGCAGTGATCTGTTAGGAATTCGTTATATTTCTTGTCGTTAAGTCCTTTGCTCTTGCAATACTATGGAATACTATATAATGATAATGAAAATAATGAGTTCATAAAGTGTATTCTCCATATTGACATGTTCTAATACGCTTTACAACACTTTTTGGAAAATTGGGCGAGACTGTATTAAGCAATTCACAATTCTTGAGAGAAAACTTTGTAGGTGCTCCCAATCTAGGAATTTTTTGGAAACATGGCCAGACCACAACGCCGGCAGCTATGTCCCCTACTCTTGAATCGCACATATTTTTTTAACGTCCCTGACAGCCATTAAAGAGACTGAGGAGGCTTCGGTTTGTCGCCCTAATTCGATAAGTCTAGGATGTCTAACCATTCGCAGATGTCATGGTAAAGGCAGCGTATTCTCCTCCATTGCTATTGATTTATTCAGAGCTAACTGTTCTTGTTACTTCTTTTTGACTTCTTTAGAAATGACGGTTGCATCATTGGAAGCCTTAACAGGAACTTTTTCCGGGAGCATTTTTCAGTTGGCCAAGCGAGATAAAGGTTAGATACTATAAGTGATGATTCCTTCTCACTAAAATAAAATCTGCATTTAAAATGCGCAAAAGGCGACGATTAACGACTTTGTTATGACTGATAAACTTTCCCTTTTCCTTTTATTCCGATTCCCTTTGATTTTTAGGCTCTCATATGCCTCCTCGAATACACCTCACTGTGATTATACCAAGTAACTCCGTCGTAGGACCTAAAAATTTCAACTTAGTCAAGGAGTTCGTGGGGGACCTGGTGCAAGAGTTCAGTATATCCCCTTCAGGAACTAGAGTCGCAATGGTTACTCAGTCCTCCACTCCTCGCATGGAGTTCAGCTGGTACAAATTCATGAACGTTGAATGCACCCTTGAGGGAATATCATCGGTTAGGTAAGATTGTACCCCAAGAAAGGTCAATATCAGGAATTGTAATTTTCCAGCCTTCTCTATGTGTCATTTCAGTAAAAAATTGTAAGGTGCAGTTTGGTTTGTGTATAGAACCAGCACGGATAAATTTATGCTATTATTTATTGATTTCATTAAGAGTCTCTTTTATCTTAGGATTTTGATTACCTTTAATCCTCTCTGTTTTACTAATCATTAATTCATTTATTCATTTATCTATTTATCTCCTTTTACCAACAGGTTTCAAGCGGGGAATAGATCCTCCTTAAATACTCTCCTCGACTACGTCAAATCAAAAATATATTCGCCCGCTAAAAATGCAACGAATCCAGTTCATCGAATCTTATTTATTATTACGGAAAGCGTTGCCTTGAACGATACAAAGCAGACCACTTCTCTCGCCAAAGAACTTCAGAATGACGGCGTAGATATTTTTCTATTAACAGTTGGCAAACACATGACGATCGACATACCAAATATGGTGATTGGTAAACCCTTTAAAAGGCCTATTTTTCAGGTTAACTCGTTTCGAGATCTCCCCAGACTAGCTAAGTCTTTCAAAGGCAAAGGTAAGTAAGTGACTAGGCGTTTATAAGTGGAGAGTTGGCCATATCGGTGAACCCTACGTAACAATCGTATCGGAATTGAGCACGCCAGCAGTAAGAAACTAGACTTGAAGAAACATTTTGTAAAAAATCAGAACAAAATTTAGAATACCAACACAATCAAGAAATTTCTTGACTAGATATCGGATCGCTTGTCTTTATCCTGAAGCGCGTGGTGGGTAAGGGAAATCCAATTTAGCCTATAACCAGTCATGCCGACGTACAAACAGAACGCATGTCAATGGTTTCTTCAATTCAAACCTGGTCAGTGAAAGGTTGATCAAGTTTTTATTTTAAGCTCTCGTTGGTCCTTTGTAAATCTTTTGTTTTTCAGTTAGGTGTGCTTATCATTATTTAGAAAATTTAGGTTACGATCTTAAAATAGTCATTCTGGAATGCTCTAAATATCCTTGTCTTGAGCAATCTCACTTGCCGAGCTCAATTTCCCCTTAGTCCCTTGCGGGCGATACTCTCGTTTCCCGCCCACAAGGGATTAGGACAGCGTGAGCTCTGGAAGCGAGATTATGCCTTGAATGACGGTTACCACATGATGATTGCCGCAATCATTTTGGAAACATTGCAGCTTCCTTTTCCAGGACTTAACCGTAGCTGCTCAATAGAGGGCTTCTCCTATGATGAGTGTGATCGGCGCTGCCGTTGTATAAACGGAACATTTACCGATTGCCACAGAATACGAAAGGACTTTATGGAAATGCCCCTCGAAGAGCGGCGCCGCTACGTGAAGGTCCTTAAAGTGGTCTCTTCACAGGACCCCTACAAAAAGACCTATGATCTAGTTACAAGACTCCATCCAAAATTCTTCGATATCATTCACCAAAGACCATTTTTCTTCCCATGGCATCGGTGGTACTTATTCATCTTTGAGAATCTTCTTCGTCATGTTGATTGTCGCGTGACTGTGCCGTATTGGAACTGGGCCCGAGCTGTGTCGCGCAATCGCTTATGGCGTGCCACAGACATACGGGATATCTGGAATCCAGGACCTCACGGCCTGGGCGGTGACGGTGAGGGTAAATCTCGCACAAGTTGTGTCCGAAATGGACCTTTCCAAGCTGGAAAATGGTCTCTACCGGAGTGGTTATTTTCTAAGTGTCTCTCCAGACGATTCGACCACAGATATTATTTGCCAAGTGAGGAGTACGTTAAGGATTTAAAGAAACTCTCGTGGAGAAAATTTCGCGCATTTGAATCTGGGGTGAGGAGATATATGCACAATGACCTGCACAATGCAGTTGGTGGCACAATGTCGGAGGATGAATCTGCAAGCGCCCCTGAGTTCTGGTCTCACCATGCTTTCCTTGATAAGATCTGGTCTGACTGGCAAGATCATGGCCCAAAATACAAATTCGCGTATTACAAAAGCATAAATGTACTCTTACCGGGTGGGAATCACTTCGGTTGGCAGTTTATGGACCTACAAAATCAGCCCCATTGTATAAGGGTCTTATATGAGGAGCCCAAGGGCGAGAAAGTACCCGACGGTGTAGATGATAATCGTGTCAGATATGACGATGATGTTAATGACGACGACGACGATGACAATGGTATTGATGACAGTGATGATAATGATGATGATGACAATGATGATGACGACGATGAACATTAAAATGACGATAGCCATTCTGACGAGCATCACAAAGATGTTAATGCAAAGGGTTTTTTCAATTATTACAAAAAACACAGATAATCATGAGATTTAGTTTGCACAAAAATCTTGCGTTACTAAACTGATCTCTCTAATAAGAATTGACCAAAATGCCCCGTTAGCGGAAAAAGGAAACAAAACAAAACAAAAAGACAAAAGAAATAAAATTTATTTAATTTTTTCTTTCTTTGCTTTAGTATATATTTAAGTCTACCATGATTTTTTCTGGTTAAATGAAAGGAGTCGGTAAAAGAAAATACAAATAATAAAAGGGATTAACTCAATTTGTCCAGTGTTTTGTGTAATTATCTTCAAATTAGGTACCTTTGTCTGACATCAACTGTTCTTTATGCTCTGCTATAGCAGATTCGATGGCCATTGGCTGATTTGAAATCACGGGTCCTTTCACTTCCTGTATTTTATCAACTAGTGCTGGCAAAGAATTCCTTCGTTGTTTAGAACAATATTGTTCAGTGTTAAAAGTGGGAATTTCATTTGCACATAGAACTGAGATGGTTCAAGTAAAAAATTGTGCAAAATAGATACAAAGGTGCAAAAGAAAATCTAACACCGGAAAACAATACTTCAAGTACAGCAAACCCGAATACATGTTGAAAAAATATGAAAAATACTGCGCTCTCTCGATGGAACGAAAGTGAGACATGCTTTTGTTTGTTTTCAAACAACATATTCGAAGGTATTTCGTCCCGGTGAGATTTACATTATCGAGTTGGTGTCGGAGTTACTCTGCTGTTCTTCTGAAGGAGCGTAGTCAGTCGAGTTCAGCAGTTTTACAAGAATTTTAACATGGAACGTTACAGTAAAATTAAACAAATTGGTTCAGGAACATTTGGTCAAGCATGGCTGGTGGAATCAATCGTGAGCAAAAGAAAGTATGCACTGAAGGAATTGGGCGTCTCTGAAATGTCGGAGCAGGATCGCCATCTTGCTTTGAACGAGGCGAAGATTTTGTCCAAGCTTAAGCATAAGAACATCGTGCGTTACAAGGAAGCCTTTGTAGCTTCAGGAAAATTGTGTATCGCAATGGAATTTGCGGAAAAAGGTACGAGAGAAAACCTTGGCGTATACTTTGTGTTTTAAATGGTGCGGTCAATTGATGCTCGATACTGAGTGAATTGAACTCCTTTCAAAGCAAAGCTGTTGTCTTAAATTTCAGGAGATCTCTACACTAGAATCAGAGATAGGAATGGAATGCATTTCCCAGAAATAGTAAGTCTTAGGAATGTAAACAGTTTAAGAAAACTCCCACTTTTTTAAATACCCGCAAACTTGGATTTACATTTCGCATAAAGGCTTACTTAAACTTAGTCAAAGGAGTTATATGTTTTCAGAAGATACAATGCATCAAGGCATGCAATAAAATCAGATCAGCGAAGAGGGCATTTTTATAACTTGAGAAAAATTGACTTTGTTTTACTTGCGACAGTTTTCCTTCCTGAGCAAGATTTCTGCACAACCCCACCTTTGAAATTATGCATACAGTTCTTGGAGAAAGAAAACAATGCCGGAAACAATACATTGCCGTTGAGACTGCGGCTTCGTTTTAAGGCGTGGTCAAACGCACGCAAAATTGCAATGCAACATCTTGCAGCATAGTTAGATCATGTAGTCAGATGTTATGCAGAAGGAGCTGGCCAAACGCGTGCAACATCTCGCAACATCCAAAAATGTTGCAACAAAAATTTGACCAATTTCAAACTTGACCCAGCACTATCCAACATCTTGCAATACGTTGCTGCACGGTGACCAAACGTGTGCAAAACGTTGTTGCGCAACAATGTTGCAAGATTTTGCGTAGACGTGTTGCGTGTGTTTGGCTGGGCATTTAGTATAATATGAGGTAATATTTGAATGTTTGAATTTTTTGTTTTTTATAACTGCAACGATGACTTTAATTTTCCGGAAAAAACTCCTATTGTAAAATAGAATTTGCATAATAACTTGTTCCTGACGACGGAGCGGTTATTCGAATGACGTTAGACGAGTATCCCATAGTGTCTCATAGATAAGTATACGTCCGATCATTAACGAAGGCACTCATGCTCTTTTTGAAATTCCCATGCTTCTCAGAATTGATAATGTTTCCTTAAACCTCTACAGCAAATTCTAGAATGGTTTACACAGCTGTGCCTCGCCCTCAAGTATATTCATGGACAAAATATTCTTCACAGAGGTATGTACATCATACCAGCGTAAATATATTTTTATAGTCCACAAATTGATACGAGATTTCTTAAATATTCTATTAAAAATTCACGTTTCAGATCTTAAGACGCAGAATATCTTCCTTGGTAAAGATGACGTCATTAAGTTGGGTGATTTCGGCATTGCCCGGATGTTGAACAGCACTTTGGATCATGCGCAAACCACAGTTGGGACACCGTATTACCTGTCACCAGAAATCTGTCAAAAGAAACCGTATCCTTCGTCATAAGTTAAAGCAGAAATCACACGTATAACTGTTTCATTGATGATAAACCTTGCGTGACCTCGCTTATATTTTGGCTCAAAATAATTTTACAAACTTGACAGTGATTGAGTGCTTTTCGATTGAGTGTCGTAAAATCAAAACAAAAGCAATCAGAACGGCCAATCCGAGGAGAAGAAAATGCCTTTTAGAGGCCACAGAAGTCGAAGAAAAACCAATAAACTGCCTAGAGCGCGGGAAAACGCGGGCGACCAATTAAGGATTGGTTTTTATTTTTGTTGGTTCGAGAGGGTGGTGCGACGTTTATGGACCAATCACAAAGCAAAGTAAAGCAACACCAATACAATCCCGGCTTACTTTGGACACTCAATTAAAAATGTCTCTGGTGTAAAAATTCAATTCCATGTAATGACCTTAAAACACTTTTAGCTATAATCATAAGAGCGACATGTGGTCTTTGGGCTGTGTATTGTATGAACTGGTTACGCTCAAACACGCGTTCAATGCAAACAACTTCTCTGCGCTTGTCATCAAGATTTTGCAAGGACAATACCCACCCATTCCAAGGTAAGTAGCCTAAAATAATCATTTCATATGTTCTAGGCCTGGGGGCATTTTTTGTGGTCAGCAATATATATATACACATATAAAATTTAGGCCGATGTTTATGTCAGATGTTGACAGAAAGACAAAAATGAACATGAAATTTACGAGGGTCTTCAGTGTGATTAACCGTTAGCCGTGAAACGCCAAACCTTTATCTGTAAGCCGTAAAAAAAAATCACCCCTGAGAGAGCTTTTTATATGTATGTAGAGTAACAGCTAAAACAAAGCTTTATATTATCATGGGCTAACCTAATATGATCGTTATCTGTATAACTAAGCTAAGGAAGGCCTGCAAAATACGATATGGATAATCTTTTCAAGTATTCTTATTTTTAGGCAAATAATCTTAGCGAAATCTGATACCAATTAACTCTTAAAAGTAAGCAGAGAGAGACATCGCCAATTTCCTTTTCATGTAAAAATTCTAAAAAACAGATTTACTTGTAAAAGGATGGATCTTTTATAAATGTAGAGTTATTAGTTAAGGACAGAGGTGATTCTCTTGCAGACATTATGGGCCACTTTTACAGGACTTGGTTTCTGTTCTTCTTCAAAAGAACCCTGACGACAGGCCCTCTGCGAAGCAGTTGCTTCATGTCCCTGCTATGCAGCCTTACGTGAAGAGGTTCCTTCAGTGTGAGAGGGACAGAATTGACAGCGTTGCCTCGGACATCTCCGAAATTACTTCTAGATCAACACACGATCCCTCTCAGATTGTAAGCCCAGGAAAAAAAGGGAAAAAATGCCCTATGGTGAACGTGACAGAGGAATCTAATGCTTCACATCAAGGCGAAGAAATTCAGATGAAACATAGTCAGGCCTTAAAACATCCTCAACAGATCTATTCGGCGCAACAAAGACTTTCTAGGACACCTGATTCGCAAGATGATGATCCGGCCCGTTTCAAGGCGCCAAAGAAGAAGGAACTTCCAGAGACAAATTACAAAGCGTCAAAAATGCATCAGCCTTTAAGCGTCAATGTAAACACACTTAAGGCGCGGGAAAATTTTCGAGCTAGACCCCCTGTCGACACAAGAAAGCACAACTTGATTAAACTAACGCATGCGCTTCAAAGACGGCACTCCGAACAAATATCTGCACATTCACACTCAACGGCCAATATTTCAAAGGTTCGGACTCATTCAAGTGGAGCACAATTTGCAAACCATTCTGTTCAGGCGGACGATGTATTTTCTGTCAGTGAATCAACAATAGTCACCGAACGAGGAAAAGACCGTTGCATTGCGACGAAACCGCGGCGTGTTAAGGAAAGAGGGTCGAGTAACGCAGTTTACTGTAAAAACAGGCTTACTTCCGTGACACAGGAGAGGAAAATCGAGTCCGCGACGAAAATGGGTCCGCGGAATAGCGACGAGGACATGCATAGAAAAAAGAGAAATCAGTCCACTGTAACTTCTCAAGAGAGAAACTGCAGGCCATTCGAGCAAAGGCATCGGAGACTTATGACGAATCCCGAGACTGACAAAGAGGATAAAGAAAATGTAGGTGGCATTGTTTTTGCAGTTGGTCGAAAATCGATCACAAAACTTCAGCTATTCAGTTTTATTGCTGCATCCCAGCAATAATGTGAATTTTTATACACAAAATCCACTGATATTAGTATATTAGTTAACTCAGTTAGTACAGAGCAATAAGTTTTAATTATTAAAACAACTTTTCTGGTATCTATCGAGAAAATGGTCTTTAAGTGCGTTAAGTCTATTATTAACTTTAGTCTTTAGCCCTTAGCTAACCCTTCGGTCCCTAAGAGTGACTAGCATCTAATTTCTCCTTACAATATCAGTCCTGAATCTCACATTAACTTCATGAGAATAAAGGAGATGATCACCAAATAAAGAAACTCTTGATTTTTAAACAAATTCTCCTTGTCAAAACCTTATGCCATGTATAGAGAACAGTATGGAGAATGTGCATACTGATGTAAGGGTGTAAATGGTTGATATGAAAAATTTCATTTTCTTTATTTTCTTTGTAGAGAGGCTCTATTTTGAATCCCCAAATTAAAGCAAAGCGTCGTGCTTCATCCGGGGCTTTGAGACAAATTCAGTGCGGAAACATCGAAGATCAACCCGCAACAAAAGGAATATTTGGTCCGAAAGACGAACAGAGAAAAAGTACGTATACAGTTTGCAAAAAAAGGAAACCTTCCGTGTTTGAAATCCCGGATATCGATGAACGACTGCCCCGTGATAATACAAACAGAAATGACAAGGACTTAACTGACGTGGAAAAAGGAAAGAACCACAGCAAAATTTCAAAAAGTGGAAGACGTTTGAGTTCAGCTACAAAAGAGCAAACTAACTCGAACGATCAAAATTTTGAAACTGTAGATCACATGATGCCTAAGGCAGTGACCTCTAAAACTGAAAGCGATGTTTCATTCTCTATGTCACGATGGAAGTTCAAACATGGCGGCGAAACATTGCATCTGGACAGTGTTTCTTCCAGTGATTCGATTTACTGTCGCATGGAGGCCTTACGCGCGTACTTGGAAAACGAACTAGGCACCAATCTTCTGACCGCTGTTTACTACTATGTCATCAGTGTTTCTCTTGAAAAGAATGAAGTGGTGAAGGAAAGGGTTAAGGCGATGCTTGGCGAGGACAAAATGACGTACTATCCCGTTTTACTTCAGCTGATTGCTTGCGAGGCAATCTATTTCCGGTCATCATAGCAGTACGAAATGAGCAAAAACCGTACATTTAATGTAGATATGTTCAAAAATATTTTCGTTGGGATAGATTGTTACACAAATATAGTTTTAAACTACATTTCATATATTAACTATTCGTGTGTTTTGTGTAGCGATTTGCTGTGATCTTTTTCAGAGGCTTAAATACACTTTTAATAAAGCTAGAAGCTAAAAAATTGTCTTCATGAATTTATACAAGTATCTACGACGTAGGTTAGTCTCCAAACAGTTATTGATGCCAATGAGTGAAGTCTCGCCGAAATTGAGTGGGAGTCGAAATCAGAGTAAAAAGCTAAAAACGAAAATTAAAACGACAACTCTGGCTGTACAGTATACACGTATTTCGGACCTATCTCTTTTTGCTCCCTCCAGTACTCTGCAAGTACAAAGGAGAGGGAGGCACCCTTCGCCAGGAAGCTTTTGTGAAAGATTTGATTTTGTCTAATAACCTGACACATTCCTATTCCTGCCCTTATTACTTCCACCCGCTCCAACAACTTCTCCCGAGCTCACAAAGCACGTTTGAGAGAATCGCCCTAGGATGAACCTAAGTGCATCGATTAGGGAGTAATGTTGACGTAATAATCACTGTCTTACTGTCAGTGTAAAGTAATCAGGCAAAAGTCGGTTGCACAATTCCGATAATTTTTACCCTAATTCGGATACTTCATTTGGGATCTCTTTTTTTGTGTGTTCAAGAGATAAAGGTTTTAAACGCAACATGCACACTGTTACAAGTGTCAATGTGGAGCAGGGTTGTTCCTAGACAAAACTCAGGATCGTCTCTAACTGCAACAAACTGATTTAATTCCACGTAGTTGACTTGTTGACTTTACTGCACTAAGCTTCTTCACAATTCTCTGTTCTTTTTGTTTTTGTTTTTTTGATCAAACTATCGCTCTTATATACATAAAGTCGAAGGATCTAGAAATTTTCTAAAGAACTAAATTGAGAAGATTAACACGGTTTCTAAATTTGAGTAGTTATATAAGAAATAGAACGTTGGCGGGTTCATTTCAACACACGCTGTGTTGGATGACTTCGGGCTCTACACTGTTCTATAGAATGTTCTATGACTTAGACAATTGTTCGTAAGACACATCAATTTATTCTTGACTTAGATAATATTTCGCTGGCGTTTGGAAATTATAACCGTTACTGCATGCAG